TACTGTCTACTGAAAATTGGGATAGTGTTTTTTACGAGATTTCTGATGTGGAAAAGTGTTATTCACAATTTATTTATTTGATTAAGGATTTTATTAATAGATCGACCTCAGTTTGCAAAAAATCAAACAAACATCGTAAAATAAAACCCTGGATCACGGTTGGCATTATTAATTCGATTCGTAATAGAGACAAAATGAAAAAAGATTTACGTAGGGACTCTTCGGCCGAAAAACAAGATGCATACAAGAAATATCGAAATTTGGTAACAAGAATAATTAGAGAAACTAAAAATCAATATTATAAAAATAAAATTAAAAAAGCTGACAAAAATGTTAAATTAATCTGGTCTACAATTAACGAGGCTACAAATAATATCACAAAAAATAAGGCACCTATCGCAAAAATTAGAAATTACGACGGAGAATATATTGAAAATAAACATGAATTGAGCAATATATTTAATGTTTTTTTTGCTAGCGTTGGAAAAGAAATGAACGCAAATTTTAAGAAACAGTTGGCAGTTGGTGCGCCGAATACATCAAATATAGAAAAATCATTCTATTTAGGCCCGGTTTCGGAGGCCGAACTAGTAGAATGTATTTCTACTTTAAAACCGGCTCATCAGCAGGACATGATGATATATCGTGGAATTTATAAAAATGGCTCACTTATATATCATAAAACCTTTAGCACACATAATAAATTTAGCTATATCAACTTCTAATATTCCATTGGATTGGAAATATGCTATCGTCACTCCAATTTTTAAAGGCGGAGATCCACTAGACATGTCCAATTATAGACCGATATCCTTGATTAGTAACAATGCAAAACTATTTGAGAAATGTATAAAACAAAAACTAGTGAAATATTTAGAAGCTAATAATATTATTTTTGATAAACAGTATGGCTTTCGAAGCGGAAAAAGTACTCAAGATACTATATTTTGTTTGACAAGTTCAATATTGCAAAATTTCAATTCAAATAAAAAAAGTTGTGTGGCAAAAGTGGCAGTATTTTTAGATATTGTCAAAGCATTTGACACCGTTTCTCATGCAAAGTTGCTAAATAAACTGGAAAATATTGGTGTACGAGGCGCGCCACTAGCACTTTTTAGGAACTACCTTTCTAATAGAAAACAAAAAGTAAAAATTGGAAACATACTTAGCGACCCTCAACCTATAACAACGGGAGTACCACAAGGCACAACTTTAGGACCGATATTGTTTTTAATATATATCAACGGAATAAAAGATGTGGCCACAAATGGCAGTATAATTGCATTTTAGATAATATTGTATTATTTGTAAATATAATTTTTCGAACATTGATACTTGCAAAATATACATATAAATTTTGTGAATTCAAATAATAATACATCACTATTAGTAGATATTGAATGTTTTTTGTTAAATTAGATCGATTTTCAAACCCCAAAATTTAAAATATATTTACATTTTACCCATTATCTTATGTACCTCTACATTATTTGTACATTGTAAAACATTTGCTGCATTTGTCTAGTTAATAATATATGCCAAAATTGTCCAAAAAATTCTATTTAAAAATAAATAGAATTTCTTATGCTAAATACCTCGGAATAAATGTAGATCAGCACGTGAGATGGAAGGAACATATTGATTTAGTCAAGAAAAAAATAAGAAGTATGTTCCATAAGTTTTATCAAATGAGGGAATTTTTGGAAAAGAATCTTTTGATTACTCTGTATTATAGCCTTGTGGAATCTATTCTCAGATATTGTATTATTGTTTGGGGATCAAGCTTTAATAACATTATAAAAAGTCTTGAAGTTTGCCAGAAAAAAATACTAAAAATAATCTTAAAAAGGAACAATGGATATCCAACCGAAAATCTAGTTTTAGAGGCTGAGGTATTAGATTTGAGATGTCTATATGCTCATTCTATTGTGATGTACCTCTATAATAAACCCGAATTACGGAGTGTACAAAATCATAACTATCTCACAAGAGCGGTAAGTAGTAAAACTCTCAGCGTTCCATGTTTTCACAGATCTCACGTACAGAGAACAGTACTTTATTTTGCACCTAAATGTTTAATGTAATTCCATATAACGTACGTATAATTAACCAGCAGAGAAAATTTAAGATTCTTTCAAAAAAATACATAACTGATAATAAAAGCGCGGTACACAAAATACTTGCATTGAACTAAAAATAAGTTTTAAAATTCATGTAACATATAATATAATTATATAAAATAAAAAAAAAATAAAATAAAACATATAAAATGTACATCCCGCTGGCCTCTCTCATCCCCGCCAATTGCCGCTCATTATTTGGGACACTTGTGCTTGTTTTATGTTTGTTTTAGTGCAGGAAATTTATGCACACTGGGTTTTTGAGTTTTTTTTTGTTTCGATTGTTGTAGTTTCAGTTTCAGTTTGCGTATTTATTGTTTTTTTTTCTTTCTATTGCACCTATGATTCATTTATTTAATAGTTATTACTTATTTGTTAGAGTGTCTAGCACACACAGCAATTGAATTTGCTAGGTGCTATGAAAAAAAAAGTAAAAGTATCTATCACAGCATTTTTGATACATCGGTGTCCGAAAATTACCAGAAATAAGTTGTTATAAAAATTTTCACATTCAAAGAAACATTCGAAGTTTTTCCTATATTTAGGTTTATTATATTATTTTTTTAGTATAAACTTGACTTATTATTATGCAGGTGTAAGAATAGTTAAAGAATTTTTTTTTTGTTTTTTTTTAGCACTGGAAAATTTAAATGCAAATAGATATTACGAAAAAAATAGCTTTAATTAATGTGAATTTTGTTTCAGTGGCCAATATACCCAGAACTTGTAAGTTGTAACAGAATACTGATATGAGTATTATCAAAGTCTAATTAACTATACCATATTTAAAGATAAAATAGTTGTTTAATGTATTTGAAGTAAATGAGCATAAATAGGTACTTAATTTAAAAATAGGGTCAAATTCTTAATTTAAATATTGTTTTGGTATCAGAACATAATTATTTTTTCTCTGAGGTCTTAACTATTCGCACAATTCATTTTTCAGTTTTTATTTTAATACTAAGTCAGGTAAAAATAAGGAAACTATAATCTGTTCATGTGTTTACTGAATTGCTACACTTAATAATAATTCTTTGTTCAAAATATGCCATCGAAAAACGCAGTCTCAATAGCATTTGAAATAATAAAAGATAAATTCTATTTGGGCCGTTGTAACAGAAGTTACACAAAAAAGTAATACGTCTTAAGTATTTTTATTTTATTTAAAATATACCTTTAAGGAAACAATTTACAAAAATACGCTTTGAAATCCTCAATTATGCTGTGTTCACACTATGCAGTGTCTACTGAATGCCTAAACATTTTAGATTGAGATGCGTTAGAGAGACACATGAAAGATGATTCTCAAACATAACCAGATAATTCTAAAAACTTTTCAATATGGGCTGCTTCGACTCTCGCCTGGCCACTATACGTAGTTAAATATAATATATATACAAAACATGAATTAATTTTTTGCCTGGTATTTTAGTTGAATTGATATTTCCGGAAATCTTTTCTTAAAGACTTTTTATATGAATATTTTAAGTAGATTTTTTAAGACGACTTAGATAATATATGTATATTTGCTGAGATATAATTATTGATATTTTTTAAGTTTTCTAATTATTTATCTAATTGTAATAAAGTGGGAAATCACAGGTATTTTATTATTACAGGTACAGGTAAATTATACCAGACCACAGGGTGGTAGACTTCACGTAGATATATGTCACTAATTTTGATATGTGAATGTTCAATGGTGCCAATAGGGTCAAAACATTTTTACGATTTTTGATAAACTGCGTTGCTGCTGAGTATTGTTGACAAGGAATGTTCCACCATCTTAAAAGACTAATTGACGTGTCTGATTATATTTCCGAAAAAAATATTTTAAATTGCTGAAAACAAAATAAGAATTACACAAAGTAGGAACTGTAGTTTACTGATTTCTGTATTAAATATTAATTTTTGACAAATTTTATGTCAATTTTTAATAAGCGACATCATTTCAAATACTATTATTACGTTTTTAATTGTAATCAACTCAAGAATATGTAGGAATAACCTACTAGCATTGAATAAGGCAATGTGCAGTGCAATTTATTTAACTAATAATTTGTACAACTTAAACACAATAATCAGCAGGAACAAATTGACCTGACATCTACCACATAATGCACATAGTAGACTAATGAGGCAAACTGGAATTGTAAAACTATTGAACTTCTAAATTTTTACCACGCATTTAGTTCATTAAACCTTTATATTATATATTTTTTTTGTAAAAATTGTAAATTAGTGATTTTCCTCGAATTTGCTTATTTAAAAAAAACAGGTCTGTCTTAGTTTTGGCTTATTTTCTACTTATATAAGGACTGAAAAGTTATGTTCATAAGCCACAAAATGTGAATCTCATTTCATAGATATTTGATGTCATCCATTAAGTATACATCATAAGGGATTTTTTGGATTATTTGGTATATTTGACTACTTGATTTATGTTTTATATAAAAAACATTATTAATTGTAAAATATAAAAATATATTAGTTAAAAAAATAATGTAAAGTAGTTATAATTCTTACTAATACTTCAAAGTTCACTACTTTTTAAGTTAAATAATTATATGTAGTAAATAATAATTAAAACATATTAAGTAAGAATCGATAATGGATTGTACTAGAAAGTTTAAAATTAATAATATAAGTTATTATTTAAGACAATCATGTGTGATAGAAGACAATGCAAATATAAATTAATAATTTTCAAAATGAAATCAAATATTTAAGAAAATCTTTCCCTTAGATGTACACTTGGATTATGACACATAGTTGTATTTAATTTGTTGTTAAGACAATATATGAAACTTTTTTCGTTGGATGAAATGAATAAATAAATAAATAAATAAATTTTACATCTTATAAGTAAATGAATTTTAGAGCAAATTGGATCAAGACAAGTGTTAGCAGCATTCGTGTTAACTGGTTTTGTACTCTGCGGTGTAGTAGAGCAAAGCGCTTCTGTAGCTTTAAGAGCTAACAGTACTTCCAGTTACTCAGCTGCAGAATTTGCTGAATATGTCGAGAACACCAGTTATATAACAAGGTACTGCCAGCCACCCGAAGAAAGAAACGACAATGACAGCACCTACAGTACGTTACATGTTGTACGCCATATTCCTCACATAGAGGTATGTAACATTTTTCATACCTAATAATTACTTTAGAATAGATATTTTATTTTGATCTCATTTTCATTTTTATCAATTAACTTTCTTACCAATCCAAAAATCCCAATTTTCTGCTCTTTTTTTGCCTTTTTTTATTTCCTGTTTGATCAATCAAGCCTTTTTTATTAGGTTTAGCATCCCCTCTATCATTTTGGTAGTCTTTTTCGTGTTTTCTTTCACCTTTGTTTGTTTTTGCCAATTTGGCCAATCTGGTATTCTCTCTATATGTCTCTCTCAACATTTTCATCTGTTTTGTCATCTATTTTCCTTACTTTATATCTTACCATTCTCTATTTTGTATGCTTTGGTCCTTGACTTCTTCTCTTCTCATTCTGCCAATATTTCCATTTTACTGATACCAGTTACTAGTAATGCTTTCTGTAGATTCCAATGACGAGAACTGATGAAACTGAAGCAGTACTACGTCAAGCGTTCATGTGGGGTACCCTGATGTCTCCTTTAGCTGCCAGTCGAATAGCTGCTAGAGTTGGAGCCGAAAGATTATATGGAGTAAGCGTTTTAGGAACTGGAGTAGTGGCAGTTTTGGTACCAGCTAGTTGGTTGACAGCTGGACATGTCACTATACGATTCGTGCAAGGGATATTTATGGTTAGTATCATAGGTTAGTATTTAGGTATAATAAGCTAGTAGTAAGTCTAATCTGTTGTCTGAGGGACTATGGATTTAAGACTAATGGGGCTAAAATGACAAAGCTGGAAGACAAAGGTAACAGGCATATTTTAAAGGTCTAAAATGGACTTTAACAAAAAAAATATAATTATAATAATGATTATAATTATTAATAGATTAACACTTTCGATCAGAACGACGTTAGAACTATCAAATGGCAATCTAAAATTTAATTTCTTTTTTTAAAAGGTTAAAATTAAGTTTTCTCTTTTAGGGTGCTACATGGCCAGCTGCACATATGCTTGCTGTAACATGGATTGAAAACAAGGATCTCAGTGGATTTGTCTCTCTATATGCTGGTAAGTCTTTTGTTAATTTAAATAAAATTTTTGCATCTCAATTTTGGTGACAGTCTTTTTAGACATAAATCTCTTTATCCATCATCCTCTATAATAAATAACGTAGCCTATATCATGCTTTTTAGTTATACATATAGAAATAGAATGCTTCTCTCAGATAAAAATTATGTGTTTCCATAAAGTGATGTTCTTTTATAGCTGTAAATTTAGGATATTCGGTGGTGGGAATCCTTGGTACCCTTTTAGTACGTAAACTTGGAAGAGACTGGCTCAGCTATGTCATATCTGGACTTGCTTGTGTTTGGTACTTTTTATGGTGGAGATTTGTCGAAGAATCTTTGCATCCCAATAGGCCAAAACGAGACGTAAGTTACAAACTAAAAGTATATACAGGATGTTTCCGGATTGTCTTTGCAAGAGGAAAAACTTTTTTATTATTGACATTTTGAGAAAAATGCATTCTTCATTAAAATTTTTGCTTGTCTTGAACTGGTCAATCCCGTTTATACTTTACAAAATTTCCATACGGTTTTAGAGAAAATTAAAAAACATGAAAATATAGCTGTCCTAAAAATCAAAACGCGTTTCTGTGGTAATATAATTCCGATTTCATTCTTAGATAGATTGTTATTGATAGAATTTTAATAAACGCCATATTTTTTGCTGTTACAAAATTTTAAAGACGCACAAAATAATGAAAATAGTTATGTTGAACCTAGCAGTCTCTCGTAATTTCGATCTGCTTGGATCGTTATAATCTATAATTTGTCCAATAATATCTATGAAGCACTAATTATTACGTTATATTTCATGTTAGTTTTCCAAAAGGGGGGGCTTTGTATAATTTTACTTATTTTTGAAGTTCTGCCTTTATTACACTTACATAAATATTTTTTTAAAATTTCTTCATAAATTGTACCATTTTAAAATATAATAACAATATAAATATATCAAAAAGACTAACAAGCTTGTTCTAGGAACATAGGAACTTGCCATGGAGGAAACTTCTAGCTTCAAAACCAGCATGGGCTTGCGGAGTGGCTGTGGTGGGTAGTCAATGGGCAGATGCCACGCTTATGTTGGGCGTAACAAAGTACCTGAAATTGGTGTACGGATTTTCAATCGAATATGTAAATAAAAAGAGATATCTTTATATAACTTAATGATCTTTAAAAGAGACTTTATTTCAGGAAGATATCTTGCAATCCATGCCTCACATAGGACATTTCTTCGCAGCCATTGCTTTCGGCGTTGTTGTAGACCATGTCAGAGAATCTGGAATAGTGTCCACGACCACTGCTAGAAAACTGTTTGTTTATATGTGTAAGTTATTAAGTTATTTAAACAATGAAAGGGCAAAAATATAGTTATTAAATTTATAATTAATAATTCTTAATACAATTTTTTTAAGTATGATTTTTAAACATTTTCTAGGTGTGAAAAAGTAATTTTTGATAAAACATTAAAAATATAATAATGATTGAATAACGGTTGAAGTACAGGGTGTGTCAAATTCAACGCTTAAATGGAAACACCCTTTTCTATAGGAGATAGACAAAAACTAATATCGGTGTCTGGAGCTCAATTTTTGTCAAAAACATGATGGTGAAAACCGCATATCGATATCTGTTACTGTTTCGGAGTTACGGGGTGTTTTCAAAAATATGCATTTTTAACAAATCGCTGTAACTTTTTTGCTATGGAAAATTATGTATTTTTATGAAAACATTTCCCAAGCACCTTTTTACGTAAAATTTAATGGTTTAAGTATAATTTTTTTAAAATTAATAATTTAAGAATTATCAACAGAAAATTTGATTTTTTATATGGGACACCCTGTATATTTTTAATCTATTGAAAATAATTTAAAATTACCTTTCCAAAAATATAGCATACTTGATATCTTGCTCGAATCCTCTTCGAGATATAAAAATTCGCCGGCTTTAAATAAGTAGGCTTTGAAGGGCACCGGCTGTAATGCAAAAAAATTCTAGCTGTGAGCATCAATTAAAACGAATATTAAACGAAATAATATTTGCTATGAGAGATGCATTGAATTTTATAACCATTTAAAATATATTTAACCAACATCAACACATTTAAACTATATCTAATAACAATAAAAATAAATAGCAAACCAAGACATGAGATTTTGCTACAGGTGTTCGACATATCGACCGTCTTCTGTTATGGACAGATGGGGCAGTTTTTGAGCATTTCTCGCGGAATTCATTAACTCAGTAGATGTGAAAAATACCCTCTCATAACTGCTAAGTATTTCTAAATCTTGTCTAGATTATACGGAAGAATAAGGATCCTTTATTCTTCCGCAAATATATCCATAGGATTAGATCCATGGGCACTAAGTCAGGCGGCGTCGACGGCCAACGGCTGGGATCTTGGTTAGCTATTCAATTATTCTTGAAATTGGCTGCAAAAATTTGCTGATAACTTCAGCGTTCAGAGGCGGTGCGTCGTCTTGCTAGAAAAATATGTTTTCGAGTTCCATTAAGGGCATATCATCAATAAGGGGTCCAAAGCATACTAGTTAACAGTGGCAAACTTTTAAAAATTCTGTATTTCGAAGGGGATTATAACAAAATATCAAGTGTGCTATATTTTTGGAAAGGTAATTTTGAATTCTTTTCAGTTAATTAAAAATATAGAGGGTGTCCCAAATAATATATCAATTTTTCTGTTGATAACTCTTAAATTATTAATTTTAAAAAAATTATACTTACACCATTAAATTTTACGTAAAAAGGTGCTTTGGAAATGGTTTCATAGATATACAAAATTTTCCATAGCAAAAAAGGTACAGCGATTTGTTAAAAATGCACATTTTTGAAAAACACCCCGTAACACCGAAACGGTAACAGATATTGATGTGCGGTTTTTACCATCATGTTTTTGATGAAATTTGAGCTCCAGACACCGATATTAGTTTTCGTCTATCTCCTATAGAAAAGGGTGTTTCCATTTAAAAGCGTCGAATTTGACCCACCCTGTACAGGGTGGCACCTCTTATACGACGCGGAGGCTTCAAGGAGAACGACAGTTTCTATTGAAATGAAATTTTGTAAGCATAATTAGGTTACTTCAGAGCACTTTTTAAAAATATAGAAAATTCTACAGGGTGTCCTCAAAAAAAGTTACATATAAAAGTTGTGTTTTTTGTAATCGAACATCTTATATATTAATTGATTTTTGGAATCTAGGAGAAAAATTAAGGTGAGTTTTATTAGAAAAGTATATGACTAAAATGTAAAGTTCTTGACTTATTTGACATTTTTTAAAACTGAAGCACAATTTTAAATTTCAATAAAAGTTACCTAAATAGGAATTTACCCGGTATAGTCTAGTATGTAGTTAAAATAACTAATGTATTTTAAATTAAATTAAAACTTGACCCTAAAAGTTATACAGGGTGAGACAAAATTAATATTGAGCATTGGTCACCTCTAAAAGCAATAAGTTACACTTTTATTTTGAATTTTGAAAAGAGAATAATTTTATGTAGTGAATAGGAAAAGAAGCATTTTGTACATTTGATTTCGTCTCGGATTTCGTTTAGCTATTGTTTTCACTCTACGTTTTTATACATATCTAGTTTGAATTCTGTAATAATGAAAATATGTCTTAAACATGAATATTTTATTTCCGTTGTATTGTATTTTACTCTTTTTTTATTCTACTTTACATTCTTTAATTTTTGTTAAGTTAACAAAAGCTATATAATAGTCATTCTAGACTTTTTTAAATAATAAAGATCTACTGACGCAAAATCACAAAAATTAAATTAACGAGAAAAATCTTTGTCTGGGGGGTAGGCAGCCGTAATAATATTTTGAAGATATATGAATTTTCCATTGAACACCGGAATATTATACTGGGTGTTCTACTTAAAACAATTGAGTAACTTGCTTATAAAAATGTGACCAATATTCAATATTAATTTTGTCTAACCCTGTATAACATTTCGGGCCAAATTTTAATTTGTTTTAAAGCATAATAGTTCTTTTAACTACACATTAAGCTTTACCGGGCAAACTCCAATTTAGGCATTTTTTTTATTGAAATATAAACTTTTATTGAAATAACAAAACATTGTTCTTTATTTTTAGAAAATGTTAAATATGTCAAAAACCTTACATTTCAGTCATATACTTCTCTAATAAAACTCACCTATTTTTCTCCTAGAATTCGAATATCAATTAATATACAGGGTTGTTCACCACATACGACACGGAGTATTGTAGCTAAACGATTAGATTTTTACAAATTGTAAGTGTTGGGTTCGTTGAAGGACTATTAGAGCTACAATCTAAAAATATTTTTACAAGATACAGAGTGTCCCAAATAAGTAAAAAATATTATAGTTGTATTTTTATAAACAGAACACCCTGTATATTATTCTATTTTTGGATTCTACGATTGAAATAAAGGTAAATTTGATTAAGGTTTATAACACTTAAACCTTACGGTTTTTGAAATATTTTCAATTTTATGAAATTGCAGTAAAAAATTTAAGGCTTTATTTCTCCAAGAGTATCAAAGTTTTTAATATTAAATATTTACTGAAGATTATTTATTGATCAGATATTGTGTTGCAGTAATAAAAACTTTACTACATTATACAGAGTGTCCAAAAATTTATATTAAATAATTACTAGCTTTAAACGGCAATAACTTGTTTAATTTAAATGAAACATCCTATATATTTTACGTGAATCAGATGCACAATGTAATTGTCTATCAAATTGTATTATACCATTTTTACCCATCTCTTCAAGTTTTCGTAGAAAATGCATTTTCTTATAATTTAGACCTCATTTATCACTATACCCATGGAATATTGACATTTCAGCTTATTTTTAAAGATGTAACAAATTTTCAAAGGGTACAGATACTAATATTGTCGATATAGTTCGCTTATTTAATTAAAAAATAAAAAAAAACTGTTTAAATATTTTTTGTTAGAGGACCAATTAATATGATCTTAGTATTCAAACTACATTAATTGACTATTTTCGTTGTAGTAATACTTGCTCCAAATAGTAAAAAAAAATAATTTTGTGTGGGTATTAGGCAGTGTGGTAAAAAGTAACACCTTATAAATTTTATTTCATTTATTGAATGCTTATTTATAAAAATAGAGACATTCATTTTCATAACTTATTATTATATTGATTTCTGAGCCAAATCCACATTTATTTAGAATAATTTATTAATTAAAACAATTTAAAATATGTAATTAACTAATTTTTAGTGTTTTTGGTAGGAAATAATGGTGGTATATTTAATTGGTATACTCTTTTACAAAGATTTAAATAGTTTTTTGTATACCAATGGGCTTGCAATATTTACCACCAGTACATTTTGTACATATTATGGTGCTATAAAAAAATATGAAATGTCAATATTCCATGGGTATAGTGATAAATGAGGTCTAAATTATAAGAAAATGCATTTTCTACGAAAACTTGAAGAGATGGGTAAAAATGGTATAATACAATTTGATAGACAATTACATTGTGCATCTGATTCACGTAAAATATATAGGATGTTTCATTTAAATTAAACAAGTTATTGCCGTTTAAAGCTAGTAATTATTTAATATAAATTTTTGGACACTCTGTATAAGGTAGTAAAATTTTTATAATTGCAACACAATATCTGATCAATAAATAATCTTCAGTAAATATTTAGTATTAAAAACTTTGATACCCTGGGAGAAATAAAGCCTTAAAATTTTTAATGCAATTTCATAAAAGTGAAAATATTTCAAAAACGGTAAGGTTTAAGTGTAATAAACCTTAATCAAATTTACCTTTATTTCAATCGTAAAATCCAAAAATAGAATAATATACAGAGTGTTCCATTTAAAAAAATACAACTATAATATTTTTTACTTGTTTGGGACACTCTGTATCTTGTAAAAATATTTTTAAATTGTAGCTCTAATAGACCTTCAACCAACCCAAAACTTACAATTTGTAAAAATCTAATCGTTTAGCTACAATACTCCGTGTCGTATGTGGTGAACAACCCAGTATACAAAAAACACAACTTTGATATGTAACTTTTTTGGGGGATATCCTGTAGAACTCTCTGTATTTTTAAAAAGTACTCTGAATTAACCTACATATGTTCACAAAATTTCATTTCAATACAAACTGTCGTTCTCCTTGGAGCCTCCGCGTCGTATGAGAGGCGCCACTCTGTATTTGTTACAGTGAAAGTCAGAAATCCAGTAACTGAAATATGCATTTTTAACAGGACATTGTCACAAGTTTGAACATCCTGTACCTTTAAAACAAAGCATTTTTATTTTTCATGAGAAATCAATTCCTGAAATTTGGCCGTCCATTTTTCGAACACCTTGTAGAAATTACTAGAAAACGACATTTTCAAAAACGTTAATTATTTGCAGCTCACTTTCCGCCAGCTGCCCTGATGTTTATACTCGGTTACACTGGGTGCGATCCTGCCGCTCCAGCCGCACTATACGTAGCTGCCCTAGCAATGACAGCTGCTACACCGGCAGGAGTGTTTTCCAGCGCTGCGGATATTGCACCTAATTTTGCAGGTTGGCTACAGCTATTTTGCATATTGTAGTTGTAATTTAAATTTTAGAATGTATTAGTGGTTAGTTCCCAAATTTTGTTGTGCTGTTTTGTTAATAGCACCGTACGCATACCCCTAGTAGATTATACACAGAACATACATTAAATAATTCGGTTTATTTCGATGTACAGGGTGGTCGAAATTTGTCTGTTTTAACAGGGAAACCCCATTTCCTGACTAGATACTAGAGCAAAACCGACATAGATGTCATGGGCTCGATTTCTGAGACACGTTTAATGGCTTAAACCGCTTGTTGATATTTTCACTGCCAACTGAGATACGGGGTCTTTTTGATTTTTTTACTATTTTGAAAATTGCCCATAACTTTTTTAATTCGCGGAATAATAAAATTCTGTAAAGACGTTCTTAAGGCACTTTTTAAGCACAATCCAGTGGCGTAGTCAGTCTTTTTCTATACTTGCTCTTTTTGTCAGAAATAATAAAAAATATAATTATTTAAATGAAAATCATAGTTGGCTATAAACTTACAAAAATGCTGATGTTTAACCCTTTGCAACGATATAAAGTTATGGGTATTTATTTCTAACAATGAGAGAAATATTAGGGTTCTTTATCTTTGTATCGAAGCGGGCATTGATTTTGTGTTGGCCTAGTTGCCTAATTATTTTTTATCGCAATTTCATATTCTATATTATTATTTATCTAAAAAATTAAAGACTTTTGAAAAAATAAATCAACATTATATATTAAGTTTTACCAATTACAATTAAAAGGCCATTAAATGAAGAATTTAGAGAGAATCGGATTGGAACAAGGGACCCCGTATCTTGGCCTGCTAGGTCCTGTGATTTAACTTCTTTCTAATTTTTTATGGGGAAAATTAAAAGACCTTATATATAAGGGAAAAACCATTGGGACGAGAGAAGAATTGCAGAAGGCTACTAGGCAAGCTTTTGGACTTCCACCAGTTCGCCTAATAGATCGCTGTAACTCTGTGCGCAAAAGACGTTTATTATGTATTCAACAAGGAGGTGCTCAGTTTGAACATCTTAGATGATTTTTTTAGAAAACTATATTCGTCACTAAAAAATACGTTTTTTAGCTTTGTTCTTTGTTTATTTTATCGATTTCAATTGTAATTACTAAAACTAATATAGAATGTTAATTTACCTTTTCAAAAGTCTCTAATTATGCAGATAAATAATAATATAGAATATTAAATTGCGATAAAATAATTAGACAACTAGGTCAACACAAAATCAAGGCATACTTCGATACAAAGATAAAAAACCTAATATTTATCTCATTCTTAGAAATAGGTACCCATAACTTTATATCGTTCGAAATGGTTAAACGTCAGCATGGGCAACGGCCCAGCTACGTCGAAACACCGGTTCCCATTAGAACACCGAAGTTAAGCGACGTAAGACGATGCTAGTGGATGGACGGGTGACCGGTTCGAAACTTTGCATCGTGCTGTTGTCCAAAAGGGAAAAGTGTAAAATCTATTGATACACACTGCTCATTCACGCCGGTTCAAGGCCGGATGAGATCGGATATCTCGTGAGAAAGAGTTAATTTAGACACTTCCTAAGTCGGTAGGCCATTGACCATGATATGGCCGAGGACCGCGGTTCGGATTCCGCGTAAACAAGTAGGTCCCGTCCAGTTTAGCCATTGCAGCAGAAAGGAGACGTTAACTTGAACCTCAAAACGTCAGCATTTTTTTAAGTTCATAGCCAACTATGATTTCCATTTAAAAATTATATTTTTTATTATTTCTGACAAGAAAAGCAAGCATAGAAAAAAACTCACTACGACACTGGATTGTGCTTAAAAAAGTGCCTTAAGAACGTCTTTCCAGAATTTCATTATTCCACGAATTAAAAAAGTTATGGGCAATTTTCAAAATGGTAAAAAAAATAAAAAGACCCCGTATCTCAGTTGGCAGTGAAAATATCAACAGGCTGTTTAGGCCATTAAACGTGCCTCAGAAATCGAAACCAATTTTACACTCAGAAGGCAGTCGCTGACAAACCCTGAAAAAATCAGCTTGCCCGCAATTTTTTTTTTCACTCTCTATACGGCAATACAATTTTACTGGATTATTAACATTTCGTATGAATTAGTGTCCCAAAATTCTTTGTTTCGGAAATACAGGGAGTAGAAGTTTCATTTTTATTTCGATGTTTTCAGAATTAATGTCAATATTTGGATGGAAATTGGTGTCTGGGAAGTTTGATGATCGATGCCAATACGACACCTACTTGTTGGGGCGTCATCTATATATTTTTTAACTGTTTTGAAGAGTAATAACTTTTCGTCTGTACCTGTATTTTTATACAGGTACCATTGGGACGTAGTATTTTTATACTGAGTGAAAAAATATATATTTCCGCCGTTTTTTACGTAAAAAAGGTCTTTTGGTAAAAATCGTTATAACTAACCGTTCTCAAGATATATGGAATGAAAATTATCAATGCATATATTGTTATTGACAAAAAAATAGGCATGCTGACTACAGTATGTTTCCGGTTTGTCTTTACAAGAGGAAAAACTTTTTTATTATTGACATTTAGAGAAAAACGTATTCTTTATAAACATTTTTGCTGAATTAAATCGAAAAATGCGGAAATGGCACTCTCGGTATTTTTTTACTTTATTTGATAGAAAATAACACTCTGAATATAGAATGACATATCATATGTCAACTCTTGACAATTTCGCATTTGGTTTATTTGAAATTATAACTTGCGGTTCGTAACTTTCGTTTCGTAACTTCTGTAAAATGTAGTTCGTTCGAAAATTTGATTCGAAATACCAAGTGTGTGGTATCAAATTATTCGTAAAAAAATGCTTTTTCTAAATATGCTAATGAGCCACCGTCGTTCGATTTGAAAAAATTGAGATATGATTAAAAATACGATTTGGGCATTTTTTAACCGGCAAGAACAAGACACTAAAAACATTGGACGATCAAATCTATTTTTCCACGGCTCCTTGATTAAGAATTAGTGTTTTTAACGTAGCCATGGCACTCTAGATTGGAAATTAAAATACGATTTTTTATTAAACAAAACTGTAAAAAGTTGACATATGATATGTTATTCTATTCAGAATGTCATTTTCTATCGAATAAAGTAAAAAAAATGAGGGTGCCATTTAAAAATCAAGAGTTGAAGTCATTTCCGGGGAAACAGGAAGTGACCAAAAACAATCGAATACGTCAATCAATCCTAATTTATGTCATATACTAACATACCAAATCTCGTTTTTTTATCAGAAAAAATTAAAAAGTTATAGGGGTGAGTCACTTTTGAGACGCACCCGGTATACAGGGTTGTTCACCACATACGACACGGAGTATTGTAGCTAAACGATGAGATTTTTACAAATTGTAAGTTTTGGGTTCGATGAAGGACTATTAGAGGTACAATTTAAAAATAATTTTACAAGATACAGAGTGTCCCAAATAAGTAGAAAATATCAAAGTTGTATTTTTTTAAATGGAACACCCTGTATATTATTACATTTTTAGTTTCTACGATTAAAATAAAGGTAAATTTGATTAAGGTTTATTATACTTAAACCTTACCGTTTTTGAAATATTTTCAATTTTGTGAAATTGCAGTAAAAATTTTAAGGCTTCATTTCTCCAAGGGTATCAAAGTTTTAATACTAAATATTTACTGAAGTTTATTTACTGATCAGTTATTGTGTTGCAATAATAAAAATAATACTACCTTATACAGAGTGTCTAAAAATTTATTTTAAATAATTATTAGCTTCAAACGGCAATAACTTGTTTAATTTAAATGGAACACCCTGTATATTTTACGAGAATCAGATGCACAATTTAATTGTCTATCAAATTGTATTGTTCCATTTTTACCCATCTCTTCAAGTTTTCATAGAAAATGCATTTTCTTATAAATTAGACCTCATTTATCACTATACCCATGAACTATTGACATTTTAGATTATTTTTAAAGATGTACCAAATTTTTAAAGAGTACAGATACTAATATTGTCGATATAATTCGTTTATTTCATTAAAAAATAAAAAAAACTGTTTAAATATTTGTTAAAGAGGACCAATTAATATGATTCCAGTATTCAAACTACATTAACTGACTGTTTGCGTTAATTAATAATAATTGCTCCAAATACTAAAAAACTGAATTTTGTTTGGGTATTAGACAGTGTGATAAAAAGTAACACCTTAAAAATGATATTTCATTTTTTAATAAATGCTTATTTATAACAACAGAGACTTTAATTTGATAACTTATTATTATATTGATTTCTGACTCAAATCCACATTTATTTATAATAATTTATTAACGAAAACAATTAAGTATGTAATTAATTAGTATATGGGCGGAAATAATGGTGTTATATTTAATTAATGGTATACTCTTTTATAAAGATTTAAATAGTTTTCTTTTTGCATACAAATGGGCTAGTAATATTATCGTTTTGCTAAAAACGATAATATTACTAGCTTTTTTCTTTACTATTTTTGTTACTAAATATTTGTGGTTTTGTTTGTTTTATTTATTTAATAAATGTTTTTATACTTTAATTAGAATAGTTTTTTTTATATTTCCAATTACATATTGCTTGTTTGTCGCAGAATATAAATTCTTTAAATTTTTGAGATTAAGATTAAAATATATAATTGATTTAAATATAAAAAGGGCGCACCAAAGAATGCTGCACGTAGGCGCCAGATACCCCAGAAACGGACCTGTTAAGTCTTGACAATGTCCTGAAGATTTTTTCTATGTATTTATCATAGATAAAGCAAGAGAAACCGTCAAATTCATGCAATACGTTGTTATCTTTATGAACTCTTTGTTTAAATAGATTAATCGCCTTAAATTGTGCTCTAAATTTGTCCAGATCCCGAAACTGCTGAAATCTGAACAAATATGCAAATAAATCTGGCAAGAGCCGTATTTTGTCTGTGAAGTGGTAGTTGCGCTCTAGCCCGGCGTCTGTCACGAAATATTGCATGTGATAAATTAAAATCCTCGACTGAATAATGACCAGTTTTATCATCTCCGCAGTTTCAGTCTCTGTAGGCACTTCACGCGGTGAATTTTGCAACAGTATCTGAATCCCGTTCCGGAAAAGGGGTATAGCTTTAGGCCGACCGCCCACGCTGAGACTGTTTTGGGGCCAACGTTGAAAATTTGAAAACCAGTTGAACTTGCAACTGTTTTGCAACATCGGTAGCGCATGTCAGTGTGAAGCCGCACACGAATCGATTTGAACGGGACCAGTTTGCTTCAGGTTTCAGTCACAAATCTGTTGTTCGCGACCATTCCCTGCGGTCGCTGTTGCGTTGCGAAGTTGCCTGCTTTTAAGCGATTTGGATTCCTTGGAACGTGGTTATTTTATATATATCAATATGGCTGATCAAGAACTGAACATAAAATTCGTCGGAGAGGTTGAGAAACACGAAGAACTCTATAACTATAAACTTCCTGGTTACTCAAGGAAAGACGTTACAGAGAAGGCATGGCAACGAGTGTCTGCTGAGGTGAATATGTCAGGTATGTATGTATGTATGTATGTCCGGTTTTACAGCGTCCTTCGTCGCCCTCCGGTCTCCATGCACCACCTCCGCCTATTGTCCCAATCTCCTGGTAGTAGGTTCCTTTCCGACATGGCTCTGTCGATTCCTTGATTCCAGGAGAGTTTAGGTCGGTCTCGTTTACGTCTGTCTGTAGGGGTCCACTGCAACACTTGTTTTGGTATTCTATCGTTAGCCATTCGTTGTACATGGCCGTACCACTGCAGTTGCTTTTATTGTATATTTTGTACAATGTTACCCTCCACCTTCATTTTTTCACGTATTCTCTCGTTCCTAATTCTGTCTAAACGGGAGATTCGGGTTGATCTTCGCCAGAAGTCCATTTCGGTCGACAACAACTTCTTTTTATGTTTTTCGCTTAACTGCCATACCTCAGAGCCATATAACATTCATTACGCTTTTCAGAATCGCGTTATAATTTTTTTTTCAGTGATCCGAGGTATCCCTAGACCAAAGCACCGAGTTCAGCGCTCCTATCACCTTTCTGCCTTTACCAATCCGTTCTTCGATTTCCTTTTCGCATCTCCATTTGCTTGCGATTTTTACTTTTAAGTACATATATTCTTCCCAAGCTTCAATTTTTATATTGTTATTTAATTTTAGGTCTTCCAAATCGCCACCAACACACATATATCTTGTTTTCTTCTTGTTTCTTCTTGCTCCAGTCCCCATTTCTCGTACTCCTCTAGCAGATTTCAGTTATTTATAAATATATTGTTTGATTTCAGCTGCTGAGTGCAAAGAGAAATGGCGCAACCTCCGCACCGTTTTCATGCGGAAAATGAAGCCTTCACCAAGTGGATCTGGAGCAAAGAAAAAGGCGTACTATTTGGAAACAGCCATGCAATTTTGTTTGCCATTCATGAAGACATTGGCACCTCTCACATCCGGAAATTTGCCGTCAGTACCACTGTCCTCAACCGATGACGATGTTGGAGCATTTGAAGACGCAGAAATATCTTGCGGCACTGATATGGATATTTCCCATCCTGTGCAATCCTCACAAATATCACCTACACATAGTTCTTCAGAACCACCCCAAAAATATGCACATTTATCACCATGTATTCCAGTAAAAAGAAAATCAACAGCGATCAATAAATCATCAGCAGCAAACGCAGACGAATCGGTGGCCGAATATTTCAAAGCTAAAACAGCAAAAATGCAACAGACTGAGGCAGAGACTAGGTCACAGAAAATAGACAGGCATGAGGCTCTCAAAATGTTCCTTCTTAGTATGTTACCGGAACTGGAAGAATTGAGTGATTCGCAAATTAAATGTTTTAAACGTCGAGCCTTATCTCTTATTGATGAAATATCCGCTTCGTCCCAGACATAGCACCAGACATCAAAAATGCTCCCACCAGTCTGATGCTTCATCAGCTCAGAACTCGCACTAAATGTTAACACTGCAGTCTGTGCCCTAACCAGACCCAAGACTCTCAAAAGTAATTTTATAGAACAATAAATTTTGTTTCTCCCGCATCCCCAGAAGGCGCAAAAGACATTAAAAAAAAAGTGCAGATTTAAAATTTATATACAAAGATGACATGATAACCTCTGTGTTGAATACCGTCTATGGTCTAGTTGATAAAATGTTGGTGATCCGTCAAGTTATTTTTAAATTATGATTTAAATAATTATTAATTCAGATATTCGTGATTTGTCGGAAAGTTCAGTGATTTGTGTTTATAGTTCCTCTTTTTATTAGTTTATGCATTTTTATATTTACAGTCGATCATCGTTTTCGTGTTAGATACTTTCGCGTGTGATACCTTTTTTTAATAAAGACATTTTAGATATTTTAGAAGTAATAAATTTATGAGTCAAATAAAAAAAATTGGCGCGGGGAGGCACGTATAGCTGCCCATACTAAAATATGCTAATAAAAAGTTGGTAGGCAGTTTTTTTAGTTTCAAAGTAAAGGAGTTTTTCCAATTTTGGTCCGCGGTTATTTCCCCTATCCGCCACCTGGGGTCGCGTCCGATGGGAGTTTGGAGTTCTCCACACGAATTTTCTCAAAAACGGACTACGGAAACACGGAATATCTCAAAAACTGCGACTTTGACTGATTTTGATGTTATTGCAAATTTTGTTGCAAATATTATTCCTAATCTTAAATTGAAAACCGCGTTTCGCTAGATACTGTAATTTTGGAGTTACGATTTTTTTAAATTTTTAACCCCCTCTCATACCCCCTTACCAACCCCCCATCCCCACCAAAAACTAATGACCAGATTCTCGGGTGCCACAGTATTTTTGTGCCAAATTTGGTTAAAATCGGTTTAGCGGTTTTTGAGTTATCGTGTTACAGACGGACAGACAGACAGACACCATGAAAATATTTTGTATTTAGGTCATTTATAAGTGTCGTTGAGTTAGCTGAACAAAAATTACAATTTACTAAATCTGCCAAGAATTTGGGATTACTTATAGATTATAATCTTCGCTTTGAGAAACATGTCTCTCAATGTATCAGAAGGTCTTACATCTCTTTAAAAATGTTATAGGTATCCGCATCGAAAGTTACTTTCGGAAACTTTAAAGATAAAGTTAGCTGAAGTACTTGTCTTATCCCATTTCAACTACTGTGACGTTATATATGGACCATGTCTGGAAAAAATTGACATTAACAGAATAGAGAAGCTACAAAAAAACTGCCTACGTTTTATTTATGGTATAAGAAAATATGATCCCATTTCGCATAAGTTAAAAGAAGCTAAGTGGTTGAATATGAAAAACAGACGTAAGATGCATTCATTGGTTTTATTTCATGGAGTTATTTCTAAGAAGTGTCCCCCATACTTGGTGAATAAAATAAAATTCAGAACAGATGTGCACAACTTAAATCTTAGATTTAAGGGACTTATTACTCCACCACTTCACAAAACAGCATTGTTCACTAGATGTTTCTCATTTAATATTTCCAAGCTTTACAACTGTTTACCAGCAGAAATGATAAACCTTCAGAGTGATGCATTTAAAAATAAACTTAAAAAACATTTTCTGGATAGTTCTCCTCCCTCTTAGTTTTTTTTTACCTCAGAATTATTTTAGTATAAATACTTTTCTTTGTGTTTATTTCCTTGAATTTCATACTAAATTTTCTTAGTCATAGGATTACTATATAATTTACTTATATTTGTAGATAAGTTACAGTAAAATAATTTAGCCACATAACACACATTTATGCTAGCTGATATTGTGATCTGACAGGAACTGAATTTAAACCAGTTTTAATTGTCTTCAGTTCCTTTTTTGCATGTTTTTTTTAATGTTATTTTTTATTTGTAAATTACATTTGTTGTAAATCATATTCATGCAAAATAAAGTATTATTATTATTATTATTATATGTCCACGCCATTTTTGATTAAAAAAATCGTATTTTATATTTCAATCTAGAGTGCCATGGCTGTGTTAGATTAGAAACACTATTTTTTAATCAGGGAGCCTTGGAAAAATATATTTGATCGTCTAATGTTTTTTGTGTCTTATCCTGGTCGGTTAAAATTGTCCAAATCGTATTTTTAACCGTATCTTAATTTTTTGAAATTGAACAAGGGTGGCTTATTAGTATTTGGAAAAAGCATTGTTTTACGAATTATTTAGTACCACACACTTGGTATTTCGAGTCAATTGTACTTATGAACCGCATGTAATAATTTGAAATAAACCATATGCGAAAATGTCAAAAGTTGACATATGATATGTCATTCTATACAAAGTGTCATTTTCTATCGAATAAAGTAAAAATATACTGAGGGTGCCATTTAAAAATCAAAAGTTGTAGTCATTTCCGGTGAAAGAAGAAGTGACCGAAAACAACTGAATACATGAATCAATCCTATATAATTTATATCTTATACCTACTAACATACCAAATCTCTTTTTATTATCTGAAAAAATAAAAAAGTTATAGGGGTGACGCACCCGGTATATTTTATTGTATATTTGATATTGATATTAAGTATCTAACAATAGCCATAATGACGAAAAAAAACTTAAAACCCCTTTTTTCTAGGAACTGTCTTTGGATTATGCCAAACTGTCGGTGCTGCAGGATTGCTGGCTGCCAACTATGTTGTTTCTGAAGGTCTCCACGGGTCGGTAAGCATCATAATTATTATTTTTTATTTTTTAGAATTTAACAGTCCATATTAAAATTTGTATGCAATACTTCAGTAGACGTAGACATATAAACTGGCATTTTAGTTCAAGATTGATCGTAACATAGACAGCTTCTCATGAGCTATTTAACGCTCTTGTTCAATTTATAACAAAATATAAATAATTTATTATATTATAATTATTAATACAAGTTTTTAGTGTTAATTATAAACTTACAACTATAGGAATCTTTTGAACTATTTATTTTTTCCAACTCTAGTTTGCTGGCTGGTGGAGATTGGTATTCGGTGCATCTACCGCCATTTTGCTTTCTACAGCAGCGTTTTTTATGATCTGTGGTAGCGGTTCAGTCCAGGACTGGAACGATAGTCAAAAAGAAAATCCAATAGAACTAGAAGATGTAGAAGAACCATCTAGATTAGATTCAGTTTTAGAGTGATAATAATTAAAATTATAAAAAGTTATTTTTTAATTATTTCTTGTTAATTTAATAAATAAAATTTATATTGTTATTGTCTTGTAAATCATTTATAATTACACATTAACAGTTTTACTAAGTACAAGAGTTGACTAAATCTGCTAAATCAACAAAATAAAAAGTTATTTTTGGTAAACACCACTGCGTTGAAACCAAAAAAAACCTCTCAAGCTGGTTGCCACAGCTTAACAGGATTTTATTGCTAGTTCAAAGTTACAAAGAAATAAGAAAGAACTATTTAAAATATCTAAATAAAGGTATTGAAGAACACTATAATTTTTAGCAGATATATTATATACCGTTGACGATCTACGTTCTATTCACCAGAATTATTTTTTTTTCATTTTATACGTATATTCTTTGAACAGTAGTTAAAAAGCCAGACATTTTTCAAGAAATGAATCAGCCACAAAAGTATAGAGATTAATTGAAAAAATCAGTTATGATCATTCTCAATTTTACAAGTTATACTTGTGGTTATATCAACGGTTATACCCCTTTTATACCGTGCTTTAGAACGTCTGGTGTTTTGTTACATTTTTCATTAAAAAGTTCCTTCGCCAGAATGTCAAGAAGTATTAATCTCCGTCTTCCACTTTTTCCTTTTTACGAAAACGATTTTATGGTTATATATTTTACAATTAATTACAATATTTGAGAATTGAGTAACTTTCACGCAAAAACTACTTAATGGATTTTAATAAAACTTTACCAATAAAAAATATACCGAGTGCGTCTCAAAAGTGGCTCACCCCTATAACTTATTAGTCTTTCAGATGAAAAAAACGAGATTTGGTATTTTAGTGTATCTACATATATAAAATGCTAATGTTTATCTGTGTCGTCTCTACTGAAGTAACGACTTGCTCTCCAAAGTTGCTTTTTTACTAAAAGATAGATGTAGAATGTAGAATGTTTAGGAGGGGAGTTAGTCACCGCGACCTTAAAGATCTATTGTGTGTTCCCCTTTCTTGAGCTATAACGAGTTATAACTCATCATACAGTCTCAAGGCTTTAACAATAGCCAGTATCTGAGACGGCTCCATAGAGGCCAGCTCTCCATCCTTGACATCAGCCGTACCAAAGTTCATTGCACGAATGGTCGTCGTCTCGGCGCACTAAATAGTAGTTGGCTCTCTCTTCATCTCCTTCCGTGTAGCTTCCGTCAGGTTTCTTAAGTGCCATGTTGGGGATGGGCCCACTCTTGGCCATAGCTTTGTGTAGTCTAGCTGCATAAGTAGTTGAAGTGATGTTTTCGCAAAAGGATCTGAAGTCAGACCGTTTTGCCCTTCTAATCTCCTTATTATACTCAGTTAATTTCTCGGTGTAGAGCTGCCATTCGCCGCTGTGTTTGGCTCTGTTGAAGAGTCGTCGGACCTCCGACCTAAGGTTGGCCAGCTTCTTGTTGTTACTTTTTTGTATGCCCTTACTTGTGGGGCAACTAGATTCATATGCATCCAATATTGCACCACTGACTTCCCTTGCGTACCATTCTAGATACAGGTGGTTCCTAGCCCTACCTGCATCTATTTGGTCCAGGTTCTCTACGAGATTGGTATGGTATAGTTCTTCTTGGATTCCTTCGAGTTTCCGTTTGGAGTATGATTCCTCCTAATTTGAACTCGATGATTCTGTGATCTGATAGGGAAGGTTCCGTTGATACCCTCCAATCTTTCACGTAACTAGTTACACTAGCACTCCCGATTGTTAAATCTAATACTTCCGCCCGCGTTTTTGTCACAAACGTGGGAGTGTTCCCTATATTGAGAACTTTAAGATTGAATGCTAAGAGGAATTCTAGTAAACACTCATCTCTAGTGTTAGTATTAGTGCTTCTCCATACCTCATTGTGCGTATTGGAGTCACATCCCAATAGCAGAGGTAGTCACAGTTGGCTGCAGAATCGCGCGTGCTCCACTACTTCCGGAGGCGGTGTCTGCCCATCACCCGGAAAGTATGCAGAGGCAATCACGATATTTTTGCTATAATCCTCGATATTTAGTTGAACCATGATTGGAACAAGATCTCGGGTTGTAAATTCTGAAACACATGTGTAGTTAATGTTGTTTCTTATAAGAATACAAGCTCGGGGAAATTCCTGCTTGTTATCATATATTACACTGGAATTTTTTCCAGACAGCCCCTTAATTTGTCCCTGATATACCCAGGGTTCCTGGGCTAGTACCATTGCATGTTGGTTTTTCTCAAAGAGTCTTGCGATTGTGGTAGAAGACCCCTTTGCATGGTGCAAGTTTATCTGGGATATCCCATGCATCATGTTTCTATCGAACCAAACCAAACGGTAGCTTGTGTCGCTTGTTGGGTCTAGAGGTAGACTCCCGACCCTTACTAAAGGAGGTGATAGCTTGTGTACCACTTGTGGAGGCTAGCCTCTCCTGTAGTTCCCTTTGGGTTAGTCCCTTGGAACTTCCATTCATAATGTTCCCAGTGTTACTAGGGGGTTTCCCCACAGCTTCACCGGTGGTGTTATTATGATCGTCCGATTTCATAGTGTTCCCACGAGTCGCTAGGGATAGTCGGTCCACTTCTACAGAGCCCCGCATGTAGAAGTAAGGGGTAAATACAATGGGGTGCCCCCTGATGCCCCAAGGTTGAGACCAGTAAAGGCTAGTCCTCTTTCTAGCCACGCATCCCTTTGACTTGGTCCCGCCATCGTAGGATTTAGGTTTTTGGTGAGAGTTTTTTCCTCTTGGTCCGGGCGGTTAACATATACGTATTACTTTTTACAAATATACTCAGCCTAATCTCCAAAAAGTGAAGCCCAAACAGTGAAAGAACAATATGGAATTCTGCATAAGTCTATTTCACCCGGATATTCATTTAACTGAGCATGCCTCACCTGAAGAAGTTTTCATTGGTCGATGTTTTTAAAGGGAAGTGGTTCACTGACATTTCCCCTAACCTTCAATTTGATTTATATTTTTATTATTTATAACACATTATCATGGAGTTGGAAAAATATAAAAAAATAGTTGGAAACAATAAACTAAACAAAATCACTCTTTTACGCGCACAAATAAAAAGTAATACAAACAGAACTAAAACAACAATCAATCGGAGTTTGGCGCAATCGCAGTTCAATCCATATCCGGGTGAAATACACTTATGCAGTTTTAATATGGAGCTGGGTTATGTTGTCTTTTTCTTACGGCACAGAAATTGCACACGGGGTTAAATAGGGAACCCTGAGTATATTTGTAAAAAGTAATACGTATATGGCGGTTAAGCCAAGACCCCCACACCCTCTACCCGCGAGATTTGACCACAGTCAGTAGAGGGTGCCTAGTATGACGGATAGGGGTAGCCCCGTCCGGCATCGTTATATGTCTTGGTGCAATTCCCTGGCCACGACACTACAGCTAGGGACAAGACGATGAGTGAGATACTTCTTAGACCAAGCCAGGTGCTAGGGGGATTCCCTCCAGCACCTGACAAGGAGGTTCCCCACCAACGACAAGGTCTTGCATCTCCTAGGGGAAGAAAAGATAGATAATTGGCTCTTCTAAAAACTGTCGTCGCCGGATTTTTTGTTTTTCATTTAATTAAAAAAATAAAAGGTATATTATATTAATAAAATTCGAATTTTATGCGGATGAAGCCACAGAAAAAAAATAAGTAATAAAATAGAGACAAAAGAATTTACAATTCACATCCATTATAGTCAGTGGCGTTTATGGTGGCGTTAGCCTAAAAATATTTCAGTGCCGGACACCAGCACCAAATTTGGCACACGCTTTCTAGAGGTAATAAGGCTTCAAAAATTGCCGAGAGACAATCTCTCGCATCTCCGGATCATCCTTTGATGACGTCATCAAAATGGCGGACCAAATTTTTAGCATGAAATTGGATTATCACTTGTAACTTTGTTAATATTTAACCGATTTTAAGTTTTAATAGATCATTTTAAAGCTTGAATAATTTGCTAAAAAAAACTATATTCCGTTTTTTTTTGTAGGAGGGGTAGTTTCCCCGCATCCCTTAAAATTGGAATAAATAAATGAAAAATGACGGTTTTATTCTAAACAAATTGAAACGTTAAAACAACAAAACAAAAAAATTTGTTTATTACGTATACTACTCTTAATTTTAACTATTTTTTGCCCCCCCTCCCCCATCGACACATCCCCTATTAGTAGGTAGACCAAAAACTAAAAAATTGTCCGAATTAATCCAGACGTATGGAAACTCTACGATTACTTTTTATACAGGGTGTCCCAGAAATAAGTGCAAATATTTTAACTGGTACTATAGTTCAACCCCAGAAACACGCCCATGAGGTTTTTTCCGTGAAAAAAAAAATTGAAACTCTAAATTTTTTGGAAATTTTTTTAGTTTTTAGTTAAAAAACATAATTTCTTGATAATATGACAACATAGGTATTAGATTAAATTTATAAGAAAGAAAATCCAGAAAAGATCCAGTGGTTCTCAAAATTTTAGCAAAAAATCATTTTTTTTTTAAATTTCCAAAATAACATAACTTTGTTATTTTGCACTTATTTGAAAAGCGATAAAGAGAAAATATATGTTTCTTTTATCGAGATCTACCACCCTTTAAAATATTTGCACTTATTGCTGGGACTCTGTATAGTAAAGTTTGTTTATATTATTTGTATTAGGTTTTTAGTATCTGTGCATTGCAAATTTGGCGAAATATACAGGGTGGTCCGAACTATATTCCGGAAACTTCGGCAGCATATTCTGCAGATTAAAATAAGTAACAAAGTTCTTATAGATGTAAGTCCTAAAATGCTTAGTTTCTGAGATACAGGGTATAGAAATATCATCTTTATTTCGATTATTTCCAAATAATTTCTGAAGTAAACTCAATATTTGGATGAAAATTGGTGTCTGGGAGTTTTTTCACATTGAGAAATTTTGATGTCAATATGACTCCTACTTGTAGAGAGCGTCAACTACATATCTTTTAACTGGTTGGAA